TGAACTTTATGTGTCTTTGTGGTTTACTTTTTGGGCATGAAAAGCTGGTTCGTCTAAGCTCCTGATTCTCTCTTTTGATTTTACATTGGAGTGGCCAGCTTGCTTTTGTCTTCAGGAATTCCCACAGAGGCCCAAGTCAGATGAGGATCAGATGCTCTCAGGCTTTCTCCTAAGGTCTGGATCCCTCCAGGAAAGATTTTGGCCTCAGGAATTTTGGGGTTGGACTGGCCTGGGTGCAGGGCCTAGGAAAGATGATGGTCTTGGGTAGTTGGTTGCTGTGCCACCCAGAGATGCAAAGGGAGGTGGGGGCAGGAAGAGGCCCCAAGAGCTCCTGGGGACTGCACTGAGGAACTGGGTTGGTCTGGATGCAAAGGATCAGGAAAGAGGATTGCGGGTTGTGCAGCCCAGGGAAACAGAGGGAGGTGAGGGAGGGACCAGGCACAGAGGGCTCCCTAGAGAGAGGCTGGTGGGTTGTGCAGTCCAGGGAAGCAGAGGGAGGTGAGAGCAGGGCCAGGCCCAGAGGGCTCCTGGGGCCCTTGTGAAGGAACTGGGTCCCTCTGGATGCAAGGGATCAGGAAGCAGTCGTGGCCTAGGCTGAGAGGCCAGCCCAGGCGTCCAGGAAAGAGGCTGGCTGGCTGTGCAGCCCAGGGAAGCAGCTATTTCTACACTTTTATAGCGAGTTTACTTATCACGTATAATTTGGAACTTCTGTTTTCTTTAATTGTGCTTTATTTATTTGGAATCTTAATCCAGAATTTCTCCTTAGAATTATTTTTGCTAACTTTGAGGCTTGTGGGTAGAACAGCTAGAAGGTTCGTGAACTGCCTCCTGCTCCTTCACTGGGTGTGTCCTCCTCTGCTGAGCTGCTCTACTGTCCTTATGATGATTCAGTGAGGAGAATTTCCTCCCAGCAGAACCACCTAGCACTTAAATCTTGTATTTCAAGGCCATTTGAGAAATAAATCTTGACTCTGAAATTTTCTTTTTATTAATGAAAAGATCTGGGTACATAAAATTTTCAAATAAAAAGCAAAAATTTTATTACAAGCAATTATTCTTAGGAGAAAAGTTCTAAGTCCTTCCATATAAAGACAGTGACTGTTGTTGATTTTAGTAGCTGTCTCCTGCTATGACCTTGATTCTATTTTGTTTTTCCTTTAGATGCTGGCCCTGGCTCTCCTCGACCGGATTGTCTCTGTGGATAAGCAGCAGCAGTGGCTTTTGTATCTTTCTAACAGTGGCTATTTGAAGGTCCTTGTGGACAGCTTGGTGGAAGACGACCGTACTTTGCAGAGCTTACTCACTCCACAACCTCCCCTTTTAAAAGCCCTTTATACTTATGAATCCAAAATGGTGAGGCTTTTTTAGATGTCGGACGCTACATTGATAGGTCATCTCCTTTTGGGCCTGGAGATGTATTGAAGAAAACGAACGTGGCATGTGTTTTAGAAGGCAGCCTTGTTTAGCACTATGCTTCCAGGGCTTTTTCAGTATTTTTGTTATGTAAGCTATAGTCATTTAAAAATTGGAAATTTGTGCTAGAAATGCACCTTCTGGGTGTGTAAAGATGGTGGAAATGATCCTGAGACATTCAGAGGGTAAGGGACTTCTCACTGCTCCCTCACTGACGTTGCTCGGGAGAGTGCCATGTGTGTCACGTTTTCCTGAGGAGAGAGCAGCCAAGCGCTTACTGTTTGTTGACTGATGAAAGCTCCAGTGTGCTGGTCTAGTTTAAACACAGAATTTTAAATTGGCGTACACTTTATCATTTCTTTCCTTCCAGGTCTGCTTTAATTTCTCCTTGGTAAGCATGTTACATGTCACAGTAGTGAAGCAGTAGAGTCTTAGATTCTTTATTAACTCTTGTTTCTGCCTATGCCCAGTTATTTAATAGACATTTACTAAGTATCTAATACATACCAAGAAGAGAGACGGGTGTGAGCAAAAAAACCAACCTGTCTGCAGGGCACATCATGCTGACAGAAACTACATTTAATTGAATAATTCATGCAAGGCACTTTGTGTATGTTTATTATTGAGTTTTCAAAATCATCATAAGAAAAAGGAGGTATAATGTGACCTGTGGCTAGCTCAAGACTTCCCTTCATTAGTGGTTGATAGGGAATGTATCATGAGAGTTTCATTTTTCTATGGAGCCCTTGGACATGATTTCAACACTGATAATTTCCCTTTTGTAACTTGTAGGCATTTCTCACAAGAGTGGCTAAGATGCAGCAGGGTGCTTTAGAGTTGCTGAGATCCGGTGTGGTTGTGAGACTAGCCCAATGCCAAGTCTATGACATGCGCCCAGAAATGGAGCCGCATGGGTAAGTGTCCATATGGACTGGTTTGGTCAAGTGCTCAGTAAAGGATTATTAAGAGAAAAAGGAAATCCTAAACACAATTTTGCCACTTGGTTATGATTGTGCTTTTTCCCTGAGGGATGGGCAGTGTTGCATGCCTCTGTCATGTACTGAGTGGAAGTTGTTGATGAGGGTACAAGTGGGGGCTAATTCCATTTTAGAGTAGTATAATATGGGAGACGGCAAGAATTCTGCTAGTCAGCTTTTACCTCATTAGTCTCACTATTTTATATTAGTTCCATACATTCTTGTTTTTAGTTATAGAGATCTTTGAAAAATGTAATAGTAAAGTTAAACTTGTTGCCAGATGTGGTAGTACACCCCTGTAAACCCAGCACTTGAGATAATGAGGCTGGAGGATCCTGAATTTGAGGCTAGCCTGGACTGGATAGCAATAGCTTGCCTCAAAAGACCAAGGGGGTTAAAAAAGAATTTGCTGTAGATTTGCATTCCTAATAGTTTGAATAGGGCTTAAAAAGAGGGCTTTTTTTTTTTTTTTTTTCTGGTTTTAGTATTTTACGTACTGCTTACTAATAGGAAGTTGTTTACAGGTTTCAAGCTTTTCAGCATATTGTCAACTCATTTTAAATACAGAAAATTCAGTTTGGTTTTAAATGTTTTAAAATGTATTTTTATAGCGAGAGAGAGAGAGAGTGTGTGTGTGTGTACATGCATGCATATGTGTGCATGTGCGTGTTATATACGTGGGGGGGGCTTGTATGGGAGTGAGGGGTTAGTATCAGGTGTCTTCCTCTGTCACTTGCCAGCTTAGTTTTTGAGACAGTGGGATTCCACTGACCCTAGAGTTTACCCTTTCTGCTAGGCTGGCTAGCCAGTAAGCCCCCAGTCTCCTCCTACCCCGCGAGCGGGGTTGGAGATGCACTCGCTGTGCCTGACTTACATGAGTGTTGGGGATCTGAACTCAGGTCCTGATGCTTGCACAGCAGTCACTTTACTCACTGAACCATCTCCTCAGCGCCCTCAACAGTTTTATTTATTATTTATGTATGCATGTGCACATGTGTGCTTGCAGGTGCCATGGTATGTGAGTATGGAGGACAGTGGGCAGCTTTTGGGTGTTGGTTTACTCCTTCCATACACCATGGGCTGCATGGATTGGACTAAGGTGGTTGGGTTTGTGAGGCAAGCACGTGTGTCAGCCGAGGCACCTCACTGGCTCTGGTGTTTATAATTTTTCAGTCTGCAAGATGGCAGCATTGTTAGGAAGGCAGCATATCTTCCTAGCGGTGAATGATACTTAAGGTGGGTTTAGTTATTATTTTCAAAGACTCCATTGCCAGATTGATGTTTGAGTTTTTTAGGTTTAAATACAGAACTGTATTACCTCAGGAGGAGGGAAGAGATTATTTTGATATTCCTTCATGAAGTTTTGGTTGTGAGTCTGAGCCTTTAATGGCTACGCCAGCTCTCCAGCCCACTACACAAAGGTCTAAGCATGAAAGTTATTATTTACTCTGTCAATTGAAGATCTTGGCATTGTATCATTTGTCTGTACAAAGCCTCTTATTTCCTTTTATATTCTGCTTCCTTTCCTCCCTACAAGCTCTCCTTTTATTTTGTCTAAAAATTAAAATATAAGCATTTGTAACTCATCATGCAAATGGTAAAACATTGTTAATACCTTAAGTGCAATGTTGCTCTCTCCTTGTTTGGTTGGAACGAACCAAGCATGTTTGGCATGAGAGACCCTCCATTGTTCATCCCAACGCCCGTGGATCGCTACCGGCAGATTCTCCTTCCAGCCCTCCAGCTGTGCCAGGTCATCCTCATGTCAAGTGTGTCCCAGCACTTGCAGGCAGCAGGCCAGGTAAGATGAGTGTTTGATGTAGAGGTCATCTAGTGTGGAATCCAGAGGGCTCATGAGAATGGACTTAAGTCTTGCTGTTTGTGGCAAAGTTGAGTGTAGAACATAAATCAGCCTCTTGTACCTTGCTCTGTGCTCCATTGGCCCATTTTGTACTTAGATGTGAATAGAAGAATCCTGAGATGGAAAGCACGAGATTGATATTTGTTCCTATAGGAAAGAAAGCAGTTACTGTGGTAGGAATAAGCTGACTTTTCACTTTTTTTTTTTTTTCGGTCTTTTTGAGACAGGGTCTCCCTGTAGCCCCAGCTGTCCTGGAACTCACTATGTAGACCAGGCTGGCCTTGAACTCACAGAGATCTGCCTGCCTCTGCCTCCCAAATGCTGGGATTAAAAGCTAACTTTTAAGATGAATTCAGCCAGTGCAGAGAAAGGTATAGTAAAATATAGTAAAAATATTTTGGAAAATACAAAAGATTAGCTGAAATAGTGGCACACACTAGTAATCCTAGTAGTAGGGAGGTTGAGGCTAGAGAATCATGAATCAGATTGATGTGGGCTGTGTAGTAAAGCACTGTCTCAAACAGCATCAACCAAGAAAACAGGGCATGGCTGCACAGTCCTGTCATCCCAGCACTTAGGACATAGTGGTAAGAGAATCAGGAGTTGCGTGGCTACATAGCTAGTGTAAGAGCCTGTCTCAAACAATAGGAATATCAAAAAGAGCATCATATTTACATGTGAACTTTATAGAATGAGGTCATTTAAATAGTGAATTTTCTGCTGAAAATGCTTTTCTTTTTTTTTTTTTTTTTTGCATCTTTTTGAGACCCTGTAGCCCCAGCTGGTCCAGAACTCACTATGTAGACCAGGCTGGCCTTGAACTCACAGAGACCCACTTGCCTCTGTGCCCCAAGTGCTGGGATCAAAGGTGTGCGCAACCAATCACGCTCAACTTTGAAAACATTTTCTTTAAGAATGAGAACTGTTTTTCATTACTCTTCAGTGAAACTTTCAAACACATGTATTTCTGTTCCTTTAGTTATGAGTACAGTATATAATTAATTTGGCTTTTCATCCTTTATTGTATTTTGATACCCTCAGGAACTGTGTCCTGAGATGCTTTGGCTTCTGATAGTTTTGTCTGCTTTTGCTACCATCAGGCTCAGACTTATTTCACCAGAGTAGATGCTGCTGTGTCTGAAGTGACACCTTATAAACACTGCACTTACTTTACTGCAGTAGTCTAAGGGGTATACTGTCTCCTGCTCACACGGCCTTTGAGTGAGTTTTCTAAACTCAGGATTTCCTTACTATCTTTTTTATTGAGATTTTTGTTTTTTCACAGTACAGGGAATTGAATTTGGGGCCTTGTGCATGTGAGGCAAGCACTCTATCACTGACTTATAGTCTCAGTCTGAGATGACTTTTTTTTTTTTTGGTCTTTTTGAGACAAGGTCTCCCTGTAGCCCCAGCTGTCCTGGAACTCACTATGTAGACCAGGCTGACCTTGAACTCACAGAGATTCTCCTGCCTCTGCCTCCTGAGTGCTGGGATTAAAGGCGTGCACCACCATGCCTGGGCTGAGATGACTTTTTATTAATGTAAAGCATTGACTTGTTATTGCCAATTTTCTGTTGGTTGTAGCAGAATCACTGGCGGAATTTCTTTAAAAAGCACAAATAGGGGCTGAAGAGATGGCTCAGTGGTTAAGAGCACTGAGCTCTTGCAGAGGATCTGGATTCAGTTCCTAGCAAGCACCCACATGGTGGCTAACAACTGTCTGTAACTCCAGTTCCAGGAGATCTGACACCCTCTTCTGACCTCCATAGGCATTGCATGCCATGGGTACACTTACATACATGCAGGCAATGTACTCATACATATAAAATAAATAAAAATAAATTATATATATCTCACACAAATAATTGGGTTAGGATTGTGTCTCAGCAGTAGAGTGCTGCCTTTAGTGTGGACTTGATCCAAAAGGGAGAATAAAAGAAAGCTCCATATTCAATGATTAGGCTGTGGGTAGAGATCTGTATTAAAAAAATAAAAGCAGCATATACTTGAAAATATCACTAAACTCACATTGTGTATAATTAATACATGCTAATAAAAAACTTTACAAGGATAAAAATAGAAGCAAGCAGAGTTCCTGAGTAGTTCCTGCATTCAGCTTGTTTGGACTTCATCTCTACCTTCCAGGTGCTTGTCAGTCTAGTCAGGGTGTTCCTTTATGAAGGTGCTAGAAAATCCTGTGTGGTGGTGCACCATAAAGTATCAGAGGCAGAAAGAGGTTTTTCTCTCTTTTGTTCTTGTCGTATCAAGAGAGCGAGACAAAAACTTATACATGATTAAGCCACGTCACACACGTCAGACTAACATCTAGTAACTTTTTGAATTTGGTGGCCATTTTTATACCCAATCATTTGAAATTATGATTCCTTTTAAGTAAATAATGAAATAAACTAGGTGTTTTCACTCAGTAGTTCCAAGTTGTAGCATAGTTTCCTGGGCTTTGCTATGTTAAAACTTCATGACTTTCGATTAAATATTTGCTTCCTGAAGAAAGAAAAGGAATGTGCAGCAAATAGTTGCTTCTCCTTTCTTCATTGCATTGAATTACTTGCTTCAGCGTTCCTGAAAAGAAGGACTATACATTTGTGATGCAGCTTTCTCCTCTTCTTCCTCCATTTCTCTGGCTGCGCCTCGTGTTCCACGGCTCAGGTGTTCCAGTTTCTCATTTCGCATTCCGATACCATACAAGCCATTCTGCGCTGTCAGGATCTCAGCGCCGGCTCTCTACAGGAACTGGCTCTGCTGACAGGAATTATAAGTAAAGCGGCACTTCCAGGTGAGTGGATTTGGTTGGATGCAATGAACAATTCTCTGCAGACAGACACAAGCCTAATAGAGTGAGATTTTTATTACTTTACAGTTATGTATCACTTATATAAAGCTGAATTGTTCCAGTACCAATTTCAAGTAAATAAGTTTACATTTATAGAAATCATATATGCCCATTATTAAAAATTCAAAAAGCTCAAGGAGATAATTAACAAATATTCAGAATCTCATTATCTCAATGATCAGATGTTGGCATTTGGTAATAGCTTCTCAAACATTGCATGTTTAGACCTGACTTGTGAGAGCATGATTACCTTTTATATGCTGGTTTAATAAAGTTTGTATGTGAATTCAACAGACTGAAACTTACTGAAGGTAGAAGGAATTGAATTCCAGAAATATTTATTCCCAAGATTATAAAGAAAGGATAGCTTTTAAAAGGTCACTATGATTAAGAAAAGTGATTAGGAAAAATTAAGCTTTTGTCACTTTTTTCTTCAGTATAATTTCTTCACTATGTATAATTAGTCAGTTAGCTCCCAGCTGTGAAAGATGAGAATGAATCCTTGTATACTTCCTGTTTCATCTTTAGATTTTTGTTTTTACTTTGTCAGGCTTTATAACATTATACTCAGTCTTAAAGCCACAGTATCTTTTGTTTTGGTTTTAGTTGTATGTTTACATTCATTCCGTACAAAACACTGTTATTCATGAGTTTTTTTTGGGTTTATCTCTTGATATTTTAAATTTGCATTGCAGTTCTCTTCTCTCAGAAAAAAATATATTTACTGCAGTCTCTGATGTTTAAGTTTGTCTAGGTGCTGCCATTGATCTTGAGTAATAGCATAACTATTAAGATTGTCTTTCCCTTGACATATGTAACACCAGGAATAATACCTGATGTTTTTAAGCATTTATGTGCCAGGCACTGCTTACATCCATTACATGTTAATTGATTGCATATACAACAATCTTAAGAGATAGAACTATTATTATCCACATTTTGCAGGTAAGGAACTAAGGCACAGGAAGGTTTACTTGGTAACACTGGTAGTATGTCACAGGCAGTATTGTTTCTGGCTCTGTGGGCCTACCTACTAGTCTGTACTTCTTCAATTTTTATGTTGCTCTGGAGAAGTCTGCAGCAACCCTTGATTCTACCCCATACCTTGGAGGGTATCTGTCTACCTTGAGCCCTCTTGGCTGGGAGAGTTGATTGATGCTGGGTGCAGTGCCTGTCAGTGTACTTGGAGCCTGTGCTCCTGAGGAGACCTGGGTCCTTTTTCTCAGCCTGTGGCTTATCTAAGCTTCCAGCTCAGTGCAGGCCTTGTACAATGATTCCAAGGTAGTCTACCTTCTTTGGGGACCTTCTACTGAGGTCCCATAGTGCTGTGCAGTTGAGGTCCCATAGTGCTGTGCAGTTGTTCTCCTATTCATTTTCCGTCGACTTTTCCAAGACTCTTTCACTCTCGGTATACTTCTCACAAGTGGGATCTCCATGAGAACTTGCTGGTTTGTCCTCCTTTCCTTTGCTGCCTCTGAGGGAAAAGAGTCATGAGCTGAGTCACGCTGCTTATTCCAGCAGGATGCTATCTCTTCTCTGTCACCACATTCTTCAGTGTTTATAGAGCATAAGTTGGTTCTTTTCCTCTTTTTGTCAAGGTTTTTCATTTTGTAAGTCTAAACTCTCAATATTCCTTAGAAAGTACTTAATTGCTGAATTTAGAAAGATTTTTCTTAAACTTTTAAAACTACCTTTTGAAATCAATTGGGATTTTAGGTTGCATATAAGTACACTTGTGCTAGTGTTTCTAATATGTAAAAAACCCTTCCAGTCTTTGAAAATCGTGTTTCTCAAAACTTTTATGACAAGAATCTACTCATGCACATAAAAGACATAAAATGCCATAGCCTCTCTCCGTAGTTTATAGTGTTTTCATTTAGCATGAACCACATGTAAAAGTATCTCCGTTTCATAGGTATATTGAGTGAACTTGATGTTGATGTGAATGAAGGCTCTCTGATGGAACTCCACGGACATATTGCAAGATTCCAGGTAATTATTAATTATTAATGGGGAAGTTTTAAAATGACTGTAAGAATGTGGTGGGGGGTACAGTTGACAAGCTTCCTTTAGTTGATTTATTTCTTTAAACCCTCTCACCTTTCTTTTCCCACTACTCCCTAGATTAAGGTTAGAGCAATGCCTTCAACTGTTTTTGTTGAGTCTTTGATATCTCTGGCTGATGTTTTTTTTTTTTACTGCTTCTAGTTAGTTGATTTTCCCATTTTGAGAATCATCTTTGGACTTTGTGTTGGATGAAAAATTGGATGTCTTTACTCCTGCTCCTCTTCCCAGCACTTACTCCCGAAACGCAATAACTATGGCAGAGCGCTTTCATATTAATGTGTGGAGTTTATTATGATATGTAAATTCATTTATGATTAAGGCATGAGCAATCCTGTTACTTTTACTATTATAATTCTCCCCACTTTTGTTCTTTTCTGATTAAAAGGGAGAGAAGGACCTTTTAGGTGACCTGGGAATATTGGAGCATGTTTGTTTTATCTGTAAAAGCAGCAGACATGGGGGAAAGTAACATTTGCATTTAAATTTTTTAATTAATACAGTTATTTTGTGTGTAGGGCAGGATGCATGTGGCATTTTGTGCATGTGCCTTGGTGCACATGTGAAGGTCAGAGGACAACTTGCTGGAGTCTGTTTTCTCTTTTCTCTTACTACCATGTGGATTCTAGGGATCAAGTTTGGGTCCCGAGACTTGGCCTTAACCATCTCACTGGCCCTAACATTTGCATTTTACCTGCCAAGAATGCCTGTAAATCCCCAACCCCTACAGGGAGCCCCTAGAAACAGTCACAGGAGTTTCAGCTTTTAAATTTCAGCTTTGGTAGACACAGTACGATCTGTTAAGTCATCTTGTAGCTGTCTTCTCACTGTGCTTTTCATTTGCCTATTAACTTCTTTCATTTTATAATCATCTCAAAGAATTATTAAATATTTTAATATATGATAAAAAATTTCTTGGCAAACATTTGGTTTATATTGGAAATTCTTTGTAAGGAAAAATAAGTTGAGTATTCGCTTTCTTTGCAACAAAGGTGAATTTTGACAAGCTTGCTTTCGTTGGCTCAGTGAGAAGTAAGATAGCAGATACTTTGAAGAATTATTCCTTTCTTCTCTGAATTTTGCTTTTTTTCTGTCCCTCAAGAAAAAAGAGATCACAAATTTTAATTCCATCAGCTACCAGTCAACAAAATATCTTTCTTTTTTAGCGCCAGTGTTTAGGACTACTGAGTCGTTTTGGTGGCTCGGACAGACTGCGTCAGTTTAAATTTCAAGATGATACTGTAGAAGGAGATCGGGTGAGCAAGAAAGATGAGATTGAGCTGGCCATGCAGCAGGTAAGAAGGGCCGAGAATTGTGGCCTGTAAGGGCTTTGTGGCTTTGAGAAAATTTGATAAAGGTAATAGTTGTGTATAGTTTTACAAATTGAATTATGATCTTTTTCTCTTCCAGTCTAGATTTCTGTGAAATTAGTACATTTCAAGGGCTAACATTTTGTTACTTCCATTATAGATTTGTGCCAATGTAATGGAATATTGCCAGGCACTTATACTACAGAGCTCCCCTACCCTACAGCATGCTATGTGTCTCTTCACCCCTAGCCTTTCAGAGACCGTTAATAGAGATGGACCTCGGCAAGGTGAGCCTGTGGTTTTCTTTTTGTTTGGGAGTGGTGTATTTACTGTATCTGGGGAATAAAATTGTTATGATTGTGATACAGCTCTACACCTTGGCCCTAGGGAGAAGCAGTTTGTTCCTGATGAATTATTAATGGGGAAATTTAAAAATGACTGTAAGAATGTGTGGGAATGTATTAGTCACTTTTCTGTTGCTGTGACAGAAACACCTATCAAAGCAATTTATAGAAGGAAGAGTTTATTTGAGCTTACGGTTCCAGGGGAATTAAAGTCTGTCATGGCAGGGAGGCATGGTGGCTGGAGGTGGTTGGAGTAGGAGCAGCAGAAGCTAAGCTCTCACATCATCACACAGGCACAGGAAGCAAGAGAGAAACTGGAGATCTGGCAAGGCTTAAGAACTCTCTAAGCCCACCCCCCAGTGATGTACTTCCTCCAGGATAGCCACACCTTTTAAAACCTCCCAAAACAGCACCATCATCTGGGGACAAAATGTCCAAATACTTGGAGCCTGTGGCAGACATTTTCATTCAAACCATCACATTCCACCCCTTGGCCCCCATAGACTCACAACCATATAAAATGCAAAACGCAAGTCCCCATAGTCATTATCAGTCTCAATACTATTTAAAAGTCCACAGTCCAAAGTCTCTTCTGAGACTCAGGTAAATATCTTAACTGTAAGCATTTATAAAATCAAAAGACAAATTACATACTCCCAACATACAGTGGAACCAAATACACATTACCATTCCAAAAGGGAGGACTGGAGGCATCCAGCTTCTGGGACTTTACTTCCAAAGGGCTTAGATGGCTCAGCCTCTCTAGCTTTGCTGGGTGCAGCACACATCTCTCTCTTGTGCTGGTACCACTCCCTGTATGTAGGTCTTGGCAGATGCCTCACAGCTCTGGCATCACAAACTTCTTGAGGTCTCCATTGCCAAGCATGCTTCACCTTCACAGCTTCATGCAGTGACCTATCAGGGCCTTCTCTATGCAGAGCAACCCCTGCTGCATGCTGCCTGGCCTCCAAGGCTCTCTGAAACCAGGGAGGCAGAACCGATGACTCCTTCACTCTTGAATCTTTAATGCCTCTAAAACCAGCACCAGGTGAACAACAATGCCAAGTTTGACTGCAAGTGTGGGATGGACTCCAGCCTGCTTTATCCATTTTAGAAGCTTTTCTCTTCAGTGGTCCCTGCAGCATTTTCCTTTCACAAGTTGGAGGCTTAACTGGGTGTGGTCTTGCCCTGGAGGCACTCTCTCCATTTTTTAAGTTTGAATCTCTAGGCCTCTCATTAATCACTTTAATCTCCTCATCAATGGGATCCTCTTCTTTCTGCCCCAGATTTGCTCTCTTTCACTGTAGATCTGCATAATATTCACCATTAATAGCCATGCTACTGTTTCTACATTAGGCTCTCTTGAAATTTCTTCCACCAAAGAAATTAGTCCATTACTTTTCAACTTAGCCTCAGGCAAGCTTTTTGTTCTAGGGCAGACTCCAGCCAGACTCTTTGCCAAAACACCCCAAGTGCTGCTTAAGTCCTTATTTCCCTCTGAAATTATATTGTTCTCAGCACTGCTTTCTTCCAGGCCCCTACTAGAATGGCCTGTTAAGCTCCACTTAAGCAGTCAACCTCTTTTCTAGCCCAACCTTCCCAACTCTTGAGCATTTCTTCAAAACCCCACATGGTCAGGTTCTTCACAGGCAACAGCCCACTCTATGGTGCCAGTTTCTGTCTTTGTTTCTCCATTGCTGTGACAAAACACTCTGACCACTACCAACTTGGGGAGGAAAGGGTTTATTTGTCTTACATCTCCTGGGTCACAGTTCATCAGGGAGTCCAAAGTAGGAACACAGAGCAGGAACCTAGAGTCAGGAGCTAGAGTGTAGGCCATGGAAGATCACTGCTTACTGATTTGCTCCCTGGCCCCTGCTCAGCCTGCCTTTTTTTTTTCCCCTAGCCTGCCTTCTTATGCAACACAGGCCCACCTGCCCAGGGATGGCACCACCCACAGTGGGCTGGGCTCTCCCACATCACTCATCAAGAAGATGCCCCACAGACATGGCCACAGGCCAGTCCAATAGAGGCAATCCCCAGTTGAGGCTTCCTCAACCCAGGTGTGTCACGTTGACACTAAAGCTATCCAGCATAGGGAGATACAGTTGTCAGTCTATGTGAGGCTGGAAAGCTCAAGAGAATGAGGATAGTCTTTGGATTTTTTGAGGCTAAATCTAGAGGAACCACGTGAGGGAGTTTAATTTTAAATAGCATTGGAGATCCCAAAGAAAGTACCTAGTTGGGTGAAAAGTATGTTTTGTATTCAGCTGTGTCTAAATCTGGTTATGCATTAATAGTTCCAAATTTCTGTCATGTGGCAAATCAAAATTTTAGATGCCAAGTAGGCTACTTAATGAGTAGTAGAGAAGATCTGGAATATGGGGCAGGATTATGGACTGGTTAAAGTTGCCATCCTGTGGGGCACTCAGAAGGCAGAGCCATTGTGATCTTGGTTTAGTGCTAATGGAATGAACTGGTGATTTCAAGGAAGCCTTTGTTTGAGATTCTGAGAATAATTTGCCATATCTGCATCCTCTTCAATGTCTTCTTTTACCCAAAGATGGCTTAATTACAAAATACATATTTAGTAGAATAATATTATGGGAAAATATATTACTTTTACATATGTAACCTTTAAATCTATACATTATGCTAAAAATCCTGTCTTAACAGATTATAAAATGTCCTAGCTATTAGGATCACTTTTGTTTTTGTTTTCTAAGAGAGGATCTTACTCTCTGGCTATATGCCAGCCTCAACCTCAGCCTCCTGAGTGCTGGGATTGCAGGCGTGAGCCACCACACTCAGCTTACAATGTTTTAAATTGAGATATTATTCACATACAATAGAAATTCACCCACTTTAGGTATGCAGTTGAATGATTTTGTAATGCAAATTGAGTAAGTACTACCATAGTCAAGTAGGAACCGTTTCTCTTCCTTAGCAGTTCTTGTCTCTGCATTGGATCGTTTCCTTTGACCCCTGGTCCAGGCTCTTAATTTTCCACTCCAACTGAGGTTTTGTCCCTTTCCACCTGCTCCTGTCTGTGTTATGACTGAAACATTTTAGTTTTCTGCTGTGGAGTGAGTGAGGGAGCAAGATCTAGGTTGCTATGATGTTTACTATTCTTGGAAGCAGAAGTTCTTGATAGCTAAGGAGGTAACTTTCATAAAGAAACCTTTTATTCAGTGATTCCATTTGTAGCAGTCTCACTTGGGTGAGGCTGTATCTTACAGAAGTTCAGGAAGTAGCTCTAAAGATTTACAATGACCTGCGTTTGGTGGTACATGCCTGTAATACCTGCACTCTGGAAGCTAAGGCAGGAGAACTTGTGTTCAAAGGCAGCTTGGGCTTTATAGCAAGACCCTGCTTCAGAACACCATACCCGACACAAACAAAAGAGGATTTATAATTACAATTCTGTGGCAATAAAATGCTTAAGTTAATTAGACTAGAAATAGCAAACAACCCCTTTGAAGTCAACATAAATTAATTCTGCATGATCATGATTTTCTCCTCTATTCAAAAAGTTTGCTATGAGGAAGAATACTCCTGAATAAATGGCCACTGTTGGAGAGTTTCAGCCCTTGCATGCCCTCACCAGCATGATGGGAAGTCTTCCATATAGTCCAGGTGGCTCAGCTAGCCTGCTTATGGAAGGATTGAGAATCTTGTCCTCTTTTCATTCAGAAGAGTGTGTTCTCTGGCACCTAGCAGTGGTTTTTATAATTTCTATTCTTTAAGAAAGTGTTTCCCTATGTAGCCGAGACTACCCTTAAACTCACTTTGAGGTCTTGGTAGCCTGAAACTCACAGTGTACACAGCCCAACAGAAACTTTTAAACTGACTTTTCCCTTTTCTAGAAGGCAGGTAGTAAACAAACAGTATTCTGTAGCTTGATAGAAAGCTCTGCCTGCCTTAAAACTCAATCCTTTAAAAGTAACCCTTAAATTTTTTTTTTTTTTTTTTTTTTTTTTTTTTTTTTTCTGGATGGAATTCATAGAGATCTACCTGCCTCTGCCTCCTGAGTGCTGGGATTAAAGGCATGCGCCACCACACCCAGCTATTTTATTTTTTGGTCTTTTTGAGACAGGGTCTCCCTGTAGCCCCAGCTGTCCTGGAACTAGGTATGTAGACCAGGCTGGCCTTGAACTCACAGAGATCCGCCTGGCTCTGCCTCCCAAGTGTTGGGATTAAAGGCATGTGCCACCACAGGCTGGCCTTGAACTCACAGAGATCCTCCTGCCTCTGCCTCCCGAGGGCTGGGATTAAAGGCGTGCACCACCACGCCCAGCCTTAAAAGTTTTAAAAAAAATTATTATTTGGGGGCTGGAGAGATGACTTAGCAGTTAAGAGCACTGACTGCTCTTGCAGAGGATCCAGGTCCAATTCCATGTGTAACAACCATCCACAGCTCCAGTTCTAGGGGATCCAATGCCCTCTTCTGAACTCTGTGGACATTACACAACATGCGTGCATTTACACGCATTCAGGCAATACACTCACACACATAAAGAATAACAAAATTTTATTTTAATGATTATTTTATATGAGTGTTTTGCCTGCATGTGTGTAGGTGCAGAACATCAGATGTTCAGACAAAAAATGTAATTTTGTTATTTATTCTTCAAAAACCACAATTATACACTAGAAATATATTGCGGGCAGTTAGTACATTTTTACCTGACTGCTCTTCTTTCAAGGCAGTCTTGTATACTGTAGCATTCTTTTTCTTTCTGGCTTTGGTCTTTTGGAGATAGGATCTCCTGTGAGTAATGAAGGAAGTATAGATCTCTTCAGTAATCATGCAGTTTCATTAGATAGAGATTATCACCAGATTAGACTTAAATTACCAAGGTATTTTCAGGAAATCCCTTTGTAGTGAGAAGAAATTGTAATTTAACCATGCAGCCTGTCTAGCAATGTAACTCTCCCTTTGTGACTTTGATGGTGAAGCCCCATCCCTTTGCACCCTTGTTGGAAGGTGGCCAGGTAAGGCAGATGGCTTGGTTGCTGCCTCGGTGGAGTTGTTGGCGCAGGACTTGTTAACATTGAAGTCTAGTTATGTTTCCAAATGTTTCTTTGGAAGAGTGACTTTGAGTCTGTTCAGTAACTAGACTAGTGATGCAGATTAGAAACAAATCCATATAACTGGAACCATTGGATGAGGTGAGAATTATTTCACCTTTGGTCAAGAATCACTGAAAGCATACATGGTTTGTATGTTTGGGTGGGTGGGCATGTCATTTTTATAAAGCTCTTGTAATAAAGGGTATTCACAGGCATATTTCTCTACTCTCTCAAGGACTCCAGCCTTATGTATGCACCTGGTTACAGTAGCACTGAACCACTTTTTCTTTGAACTAACAGCTATGTTTAAGTGTAGTCTTGGATGATATGATAGTTTATATGACCTAGATTATGGAGCAGCTCTTGTTTTAAAAAGATGGTTTGGGGCTGGGGACATGACTCAGCAGTTAAGAGCACTGGCTGCTCTTGCAGAGGACCCAGGTTCAATTCCCAGCACCCACATGATGGCTAACAACCCGCCATAACTCCAGTTCCAGGTGATCTGATGCCTTCTTCTGACCTCCGTGGGTATTGCACGACAAGGGGCATTGCACAACACAGGTGCACCTACACACATGCAGGCAATATATTCATGCACATAAAATAAAAATAATAAATAAAAAGTTAAAAAAGATGGCTTAAAGTTCCTTAAAAAATGCTCATAAATGCAACATTGTTTTATACCATCTATTAGACACCCAAGTTCCAGTGGTTCCTTATTGGCGTTTGCCTGGTTTGGGCATTATTATCTACCTGCTGAGACAGAGTGCCAGTGATTTCTTCAGCTATTATGACAGTCACCGACGCAGTGTCAACAAGCTACAAAATGTAGAACAACTTCCCCCAGATGAGATAAAAGAGGTATGAATTATAATGAGTGGTGGGGACTTGAAAAATCATTGCCTTCACTAGTTAAGGTCCAGGGTATTGGTCTTAGACTTAGGAGTAAAGATGATTTGTCCAGTGTGATCAAAGGAATTGGAACAGTTCTTCTGTGTGACTGAAAGAATGCTACCTTTGCATCAGCCTCATAAGCATTGACCCTCTTGACTGAAAATAGCCAGGTAGTTCCTTTTCAAGAAAATTGAAGGGCAATTGGCCCTTGAGAAAAGAGCTTTTTTTTGGTCATTCTACTTTAAAATCTGCTGAGAAGCTGGGCTTCCTAGTGCAAATGTTTTTGCAGTAGAACTTAGGCAAATGTCTCTGAGTCTTCAGTGTCTTTGATGTTCATTAGTGAATTTTCCAAACAGATGGGATAGCTTAACAGACTTGATCTCTCTGACCCTGGATCATCCCCTTGTCTTTACTGTAACTGAAAGTGTTGAGGTGCTAAGCTTATTTCCTAACTAGCTGACCTTTTCCATTTGGCACAGCTGAGCTATAAAGCAGGTCTTGGCTGGGTCTTAGACAGTGTTGAAGCTTCTTGGTGCCTTGTGACAGCCTGGAGTTTTAGCCATTTTTCCAGCCTAACATGCAGGAATATTCGTGTGACTCTTATGAATAATCAAAGTCTACTCCCACTCTCCACTCTTCTGATAATCACAGAGAAAGTTTATTGAGCAACCCATGAGCTATGTGTTCTATGTGAATGCATGGGCTAGGTGCTGTTGCTGCTCCTGTTTCTCAGTTGAGGAAATGGAGGTACAGAAGGCTTATATGACCTTCCTGAAGACATAGCTCACAGAATCCTGGCTTGGTGTAGGCAGTCCCTGAAACTGGGCTCATAGCTGGCAGTTCTCCTTCCCAGAGCTTTCTGTGATGCCAGAACAGCTGACCCATGGTGTTCATACTCAGCCTGTTGATTTGAGGATTCCCTGAGAGTACCAAAGTCCTAGAGTGCTCAAGTCTCCCACACAGAGTGGCATAGGTCTAGGATTTCTATATAAATTATGCACATCTTTCTGTGTGCTTTAAATCACCTCTAGATTATTTATAATGCCTAATGTGATATAAATAGCTATTGTATTGTTTACAGGATTATCGAAAGAAAGCAATGTCTATACATACTCAGTTCAGATGTAGTTTTTATTATTTTTTTCATTGGTATATATTGTACAAAAAATGGGTTTCACTCTATTTTCATACATGCATTCAATGTGCTTTGGTTATATTGAACCCCCTATTACACACTCTTGCCCCAGCATCGTCTCCCTTTCCCAAATATTCTACTTTGATCAGAAGCTAGTTTTTAAGAATACTTTTTCTCTGTGGGTAGTTGAAGCCATGAATGTAAAACTTGTAGATACAGAGAGCCACATTTGCAAGAGGAATATCTTGACAGAGTTTGTGGCCTTAACACAGTCTCACTTGAGTATGCCTTCTGTCAAACCAAAGGCTTCATCAGACGGAGAAGTGCCCAGCCAAGGCTTGGGTTGATGATCATGTCTTAGATTCCATGGTCTTTAGAGGATACCTGACCAATTCTTCATGATACATTTATATAATTAGCTACTGTTTGAAAAACTTGTTTTAACTTGATAGGATATTCAGGGCTGGTGGGCTCATTAGTGGGTTGGAATATGTTGTCTGTGGAACCAACAGACAACAAGACTTTCTTAAAAGGTAGCAGGTGAACATTCATGCGTGGGTTTGACTGCTTTTTTGACTCTCGTTTTTGCATAATAAACTATTGTCTGCCAGGCTGTTTAAATGTATTTGAGTGTTTTTCGCAGTACTCTCTATAGTGACCTGTTCATAGATTTTTTTTTGGCGGGGGGGTCTTTTTGGGAAAGGGTCTCCCTGTAGCCTCAGCTGTCCTGGAACTATGTAGACCAGACTGGCCTTGAACTCATAGAGATCCGCCTGCCTCTGCCTCCCAAGTGCTGGGATTAAAGGCATGAACCAGCACGCCTGGCTCATAGATTTTTTTGTTTGTTTTGTTTGTTTGTTTATTTGTTAAAGCTACTTCAATTTATGTTTCTTTCTCTTAGTTGTGTCAATCTGTGATGCCTGCTGGTGTTGATAAAATTTCTACTGCACAGAAGTATGTTCTAGCAAGACGGCGTTTGGTAAAGTTGATCAACAATCGAGCTAAACTTCTTTCCCTTTGTTCTTGTATCCTTTATGGAGTCAGAGCCTGAGTGGAGACCTTTAAATGTTTATTTATTCTTACATTTTGGCCACCGAAACCAGATGAAAAGGGACAGTTACTTTTTGGTTTTGTTTGTTTTTCTTAGTAAACACCTGATGCATTTCCAAATTGTGATTTTATTCTTACCTTTTGGGGCAGCTAGGAGCATTATAAAATATTCTTTCTGTCTGGGCAGGAGGTAAGGTCCCAAGGGTGTCGGCAAAATCCTCTGGGTCCTCACCTCCTACCTCAAGCACACCTCACTGCTTTTCTCTGGGTGCACACTCAGTGGAACTTCAGTGTCAGACCAATGCTTGGGTGCATGTTGAGTATAAGCTGTCCCTTGTCTCCTCAGAACCTTCTTTGTAAAGCAGATACACGATGGCATTATTCTTTAATCTGAATTCACAGTCATCATAGAGACCTGTCTCTTTGTTTTTTGGCGCCATCTGGAGTACTACTTGTTACATTGCACACCCACAGATTCCCAAGATTCCTTGTTTGCCTCCAAGACGTTATTTAAAAGTAGAAGATTACAAGGTAAAGTTTTATTAGGTAAAGTTTTATTACCCAGACAAACCAGTCATAAATGCATGTGTGTGTGTGTGTGTGTGTGTGTGTGTATATATATATATATATA